GGGTCGTTGTCAGGGCTAAGCGATGAACCGGCTTCCACGACTGTGTTGCCCAGAAGAGTTCTTCGCCTGATGCATAGGATGATCCGGTCAGACAAATACAGTGACCGAATTGAGTAGAGTCAGTATAGTGTGAGAGTGTATCCGTGGCTCAAGGTCGAATCAGTCTAGGGTAGGCTGTATGGATAAGTTGGATGAGGCTGTGAAGTGCTGTCTTTACAAATACACACGGGTGTAGCGGAGCTTTTAACAGCCAGGCATACATGTGGCTGCAAGGCAGCTACAGCCACAGATACTGTGTGCCTACTTCCAGGCACCATACATCCTGGCAAATGACTTGACGATGTGGGAAAAGTGTTGAGGTCGAACGGTGGCGCAGCACGCTTAGAGATGCTTCGCCTCATAACGAACCTATGGAGGTCGATAGAGTTGGGGCGGGAACTGCAAACTGTGACGTAGGAAACGTGTGAAATTCACCGAGAGAATACGGTGAGGTAGTCCCCATGATAGACAAAGAGCTTGCTAAAAGTGCTTCCAAAGGCCGTCCTGGATAAAATAAGCATCGAGACGATACCGAGCGCGACCTCTGGTACACGCGAAGTACGACACGAAGACGTACTACGCGGAGGACTGGATGCGATTGAACGTGCTAGCCTTGAATCACAGGCAGCACTCGTGATCGAGACATAGCTATCGTGCCTTCACTGTTAGGTCATGTCGTTGCTTTTTCCTGTTGTTCCGTAAGCATGCCCAAATGCGTGCGAAAGAGACGTGTGCATTGCCAGGCAGCGCGTCGCCTGCTCGCGCACACAGCCCCAAACTGTCCGCACTGGGACTGCATGGGTGACGACGGGAGAACTATGGCGGCAGGAGCGGTGAAGGAAGACGTCACACGCGAGTGCATTGACCGATAGTTTGCGAGATGAATTATATCGCGCGCGAGCGATGGGCGGCACGCAAAGCACACAAATTGCAAGAGCACAGCTCATGCGAGGAAGGGACTGAGTCGGTGTGAGCAGGTCGTCGTCTACTCTGCAGCCTCAAGCCCCATGGAATCCAGACGCACATGAACTCCAACAGCAAAATAGAATCCCAGGATGTCTCCCTCTGCTCACAATGCAGTTGGCGCCTCACTCTTCCCACATGGCCCCGGGGGGTAGACAGAGGAGCGGAGTGGTTTTGCCAGCGGAGGCCCGAAGCGGTTAGAACGCTCGCACGTGCCATTTCCCTTGGCAAGCCAACACTCGCAAGCGAGAACGATCGAAATTCCTCCCACTGTAAGAGCATCGACAACACCACATCGACGACGTACGACAAGCCGCCATCATGTGTGAGTATACCCGGATTCTATCGACTCATATCAGTTGTTGCGACCCTGGCTTTGATCGCGCCGAGTGTGCCTCACCCAGCGCGTGGAGTGGGGTCGCAATAATTGATGTTCAGACACTCGTAATAGAGGCATGCTGACAACTTTCCAGCGCTCGTCTCCGGAGAGAAGTCTAAGTACGTTCATACAAGAGCCTGCGATTCCCCGTTCAGCCCTCGGCTTCCTTCGCATCGAACCGCCTAGTCCTATGAGTCCACACGACCTCGCAGCCGCCTTCCAGTCCGACAGCACTCAGAAGCCAATGGGAGGGAATAGAGTAGACAATCGTACGCACCAGGCGTTGCAGAAAGATGAAGGGAACTATCTGTGCAAGGGGAAGCTTTGTTGTGCTGTTCGGGCTGGAGTGGCCAATTGCGATGGCTGATGGTTTTCGGATTGCGGAGGTCTACGCATAGAGGCGGCGCACAAACGCAGGCACATTCGCACAATGAGAGCAGTGCTGACTTTACCAGCTTCCAATACATCATCCGTTTGTTGAACACGAACGTCGATGGCAAGCAGAAGGTCATGTACGCCTTGACCAAGATCACGGGTGTCGGTCGCCGATACTCCAACTTGGTCTGCAAGAAGGCCGATGTCGATCTGTCCAAGCGCGCTGGTGACCTCACCTCCGAAGAGCTTGAGCGTATCGTTACCATCATCCAGAACCCCCTCCAGTGTACGCCACGACCATTTCTCCAACAGGGATAATGACGCTGACACCCTGCAGACAAGATCCCCGCCTGGTTCCTCAACAGGCAGCGCGATATTGTCGATGGCAAGAACAGCCAGGTCCTCGCCAACGGTGTCGCCTCCAAGCTCCGTGATGATCTCGAGCGCTTGAAGAAGATCCGCGCTCACCGTGGTCTCCGTCACTACTGGGGCCTCCGTGTCCGTGGTCAGCACTCAAAGACCACCGGTCGTCGCGGCCGAACCGTCGGTGTCTCCAAGAAGAAGGGTTAAAGGTTTTCGCATGCGCTGGGCAGCTGGGGCTGGAACATGCCTTTACGAAATGGGTGGTGCACTTACGGTGTTTATCAAACGGCTTTCATTGGCTTTCACACTTACACTTCATGCGGCAATGCACGATATGAGGTGAGGTGATGCGGCACGGTTAGGGTTGGCCGAATACAGCCTGTACCAAAATCACACATTCAAATTTCGACTTGTTCCATCATGATGCGTATTCGCTCTCGACAGTCAAGGGTTCCGCATCAGTCATGTGAGGGAGCTTATTGTGTGGCGCCTAGAATAGGCTAGTGATTGGCGACGAGGACTAACATCGCTTTGCGCCCACACTCCGCTCACGAGGCACCACGTCACACAACGACCACGCTTCGGCGCACTAGAGTGTTCTGAGTGCTGGTTCTTGTACTGAGTGGACATTGTCATCGGCACGATCCGCTAACGGCGTCTAGGCTGGTCACACCTGCTTTCCAAAGGGCACATTGGACAAACCCACGAATCATGATCCCCATCGAAGCTGCGGCACCTGGCGAATCTTGGGTGCGAGACAGGCCTTCCTATCCTCCATACTCTCCCAATCAATTATCCCAGTCCAAAGCAACCTATTCTACTCGATTTATCAAGCGCCAAGTGTGGAGTGCGTTGTGTCCCGCACATGCTGCAACATTTCAACCTCGCGATCGTCGGCATCTGCAGTGCCAGTGCGTCCTGCTCGATGGTACGCCTTCCCCGCTATTTACGCCTCTCTCACAGGACGTGACTCGGAAGGCCCGTAAAGTCTTCCTTACGGCGCCGAAGTCGTGGCATGGTTGCATATTTCACCTGCAGGGCCAGTGAAAGGGCCGCATGGCTGAGGTGAGTACTGTGGATATAACCCTTCCTGAAAGCGCGGGCTTTCGCTAGGCCGTCGGAAGGTCTCTTCTTTGCGTTTCCTCTTTTCGTATTGAGTTTCTTGTCCGGTCGCAGTCAGCGCTCGATTATGACGACACTTATCCGGACTCCTTCGCCCAAGTTGCGCATACGATCGTTGTCCTTCGACTCGCCCTCTTCGCGTATCACTGACACGCCCCTTGACGATGGGCCTCTGTCAAAATCAACGGGCTCGCTCATTACACTCTCAAGCTACGATGCCATCAAAGCCGCCGCACAGGAAGCGTTACGCTCCGTCAGAATGCTACTACCCCTGAATACCAAACTGAGCGATGATTCAATGTTTTCCGACGCATCCAGCCCCGCCTCCTCAGCAGCAAGTTCTCCCAGCTCGGCTGGAGGCGGTATAGAACTGTCCACCCCACCACTGTCCTCGTCCCGTCGTCAACGCCCACGTCCTCACCCTCTACAATTCGCACAACCGACGAGCCATGAGAATGCAGTCGTCCCGGGACCAACCTCACCATTTCTCTACCAAGATACAAGTTATGCAATGTACTCGCCGTGGCTGGTTCGTGTAGTACTAGACATGTACGACGTCAGGGGACTGGACTGGATGGCCATTGCGGATCCAATTGAGCGGGTATGGGGCGTACAAACTAGTAGCGCTGATGTCCTTGGGATCCTGAGTGACAATGGGCGTGTGCTCAATCGGCGCTGGTGGGACTGAGCAAGCGACTGAAAACGTTGCTGCAGGGATGAGGAGACGCACTGAGCGCGCTCGATGTCATCTGAGATGAACCGCAGTGTACGGCGGGGATGCGAGCGCTTTCATTGCCTCTCGGTCTTTACTTTCGCTATTTCTTACTTGTTGTGTACCGGCGCTCCGTTCTCAACGCATGTTTCAGGTACGGCATTTGCATGGTAACGATTACGACTCACGACTCTTATTCACGAACGCACTGCGAAAACGAGTGCGTCGTTCAGATGATAACGAGGAAGCACGAAGCACAACTTAACGATGACATATTTACGAACTCACGATTAGCATACATGAAATGTAAAACTACAATCATGAAGCAAAACTGTTCCGCATATTCGCAATTAGTTCTTCTTAGTGATACAAAAGGTGATAAAACTAGATCTTACCAAGTATCCGGTCGGTATACTGTGAAGGGATCTAATTAACCTGCTCAGGTTCATGAGGCCCGGTACCCGGGCTTGACTGCCCCACGCAAATTTGCATGCGGGAGGATGCAAGATCATGCAGCTCTCGAACAGCTGTCCCGCAGCGAGTGGCTCAGCGACGATGCATCGGGACCATTGCAGATAGCAGTCTGAAGAGGGGAAGTTTGGGAAGACATGACGACACAGCGAATGAGAAGCGAAGTCGTGGTGCGTCTTGTGAGGCTTACGATTTGCATGGAATAGGTACAGGGATGACAGTCGTATGCATTGGAAACCACAAGCCGCTACCCATGAACTTGCTCTACTACATATCATAGTGCAGTGCCTACGGCGAGATCTATGATGATTTGCGATGGTCTCTGACTCTGACGCTCCGGCGGATGGAAGCATATAACGCATTTCCCTTGGTGGTGTAGCCCGAAGCGGCATTTCGTGGACTTGGAAAGACGTGCAGGAGGACTGCAGTCGCCCTGTTCCTTGCAATCCATAGAACAGAGTGTTTACCCCTCGCGGGTGTATGGAAGCGCCTTTTGCACAGGCGTTCCTGTCCTTATACAACAGCACGTGAGGACGAGCATGCTGCGCGACGCGTGCTGGCAAGACGTGTCACCACTCAGTCGTCGGCACCGACAGCCATCTCGAGAACCTCGACATTGCCCCTTCCTTTTGTTTGGCCCTCAATCAGCTCGTTCAGACCCTTGAAGGCTCCAGGCTCAACGAGACCCACTGCCTCCCACTCGGCGCCTATTGTGTCTTGACTCTCGATCTTCTCCATGAAGGCCAATATCGCATCCTTAACAGTACCGGTAGTTCCCTTCTCTTCAGTGCCCGCTGGCGCCTTGGGCGCAGTCTTTATGGATTGCTTGAGGACGGACGTCGGACAGGTGACGCGCAGTTTCATCTGCATGCGGGCGACAGGTATCGGCTGGTGGGCGATGAGGGCCTTCATGGCGAATAGCGCCTGCGACTTGGCTGACTTGTTCGTAACGATGCCGGTCCACTTGGGCAGTTCCTTCGCTTTGGCTTTGTCCTCACCATCTTCCTTGCTCTCGCCCTTGTCTCCCTGTTGCGTCGCCGCTGCCGAGCTCAGTTGATCCAGCGCCTTCTCGATCATGCCTGTGGTGTAGACGCGCTTCGTCTTGGGGTCCACGAGTTTTCCCGCCACGATATCGATGACTTCATTCTTGGTTCGCTCCAACTCGGCGTTGCGCTCCTTCTCGCCTACTTGCAGCTCGCCGTGGTCTAATATGTCGGTGATGATGTCTTCGAGCGACTTTTTGGGGAAGGCCTTTTCGAGATCGGCTTTGGGTGCGACTTGGCCTTTGGATACGTTGAGGAAGACATTCTCGATTTGCAGTACGTTGGAGATGTCCTTCTCGATTTTATTGCGCCATTCGAGGACCTTGTTCTTGTAGCATGCGATTTCGAAGCGCTTCTTGCCTGCTGGTCGTTAGTGTACAGAGGCATAGACATGGGCGGGGGTTGCGCACCCTTCTTCATGCGCACCAGCGAGACGTTGGTGAGTCTGATCTGGTTTGACGGCTGGAACACTCCGACAGGCATTTTGGCGGATTATGGGGGTTGATATGGGTATAGTGTTGACTGAAGTGCAGGTGTTTGGCGCAAGTTGCAAAAGTTGCATTCCATTTTGGTGGGGTCTGCCGCCGATGACATGCGCAGGTTCACTCACTACGATCCCACGCGCGCTAAGCCCAATCCGGACCACATGCATGCAGGTCCGGCTCTAGCTTCCCGGTCCGCAGAGAGAGCTCGGCAGCAGCATCTCGCCACGGCTTCCATCTCAAGGTGCCTGGAATGAGGCGACTGGCGTAATGATGTCTATGATCCAAGTCCCCGGCCGTCTGGTGTCCTGCCACAGGCGCCGATCAACGCTATCGTGAAACGCTAAGCCGGGCATGTGATGCTGGCCCCGGGGAGCTTGGACTCCAGCCACGCTGATAAGCTGTCGGGATGCGTCATGCTCCGTTGCCTGGACAAGCCGCGCCTCCTCCACACGAGCTATCCATAGCTCGACTTAACTCCACCCATCCCATCTCTCTTCCATCCTTTCTTCCTCCCCCATCACTCATCGCCTGCTTCTTCATTAAAACGTAGAGGCACCCTTCTCATCTACTTCATTTACCGCTAGAGCTCCGGAAGCTCAGCACCGCCATCATGAAGGTCGCTGCCTCGGCGCTCCTCGTTGGAGCTGCTTCGGCCGCTGTTGGAACCCAGCAGCAACAGGTCCTGAAGTTCCCCGACTCGTTCAGCGAGCTCAAGGAGTCCTCATGGACCAAGCCTCTCCAAAACCTCGAGGAGAGCCTCAAGTCGCTCACCGGCGAGGCTCGCGCCGTCTGGGACGAGGTCGCCATGATGTTCCCCGAGAGCTTTGAGAAGGCCGCTTTCTTCTCCGAGCCCAAGCCGCACACGCGCAAGGCCGATAGTGAGTGGGACCACATCGTCAAGGGCGCCGACATCCAGAGCGTCTGGGTCGAGAACGAGAACGGCGAGAAGGAGCGCGAGATCGACGGCAAGCTCGAGCAGTACAGCTTGAGGGCCAAGAAGGTCGACCCCAGCGTCCTCGGCGTCGACAAGGTCAAGCAGTACTCCGGCTACCTTGATGACGACGAGGAGGACAAGCACCTCTTCTACTGTGAGTACCTGCATGACCACCACAAACACACCTGTGTCTAACGTATCCCAGGGTTCTTCGAGTCGCGCAACGACCCCAAGAACGACCCCGTAGTGCTCTGGCTCAATGGCGGACCTGGCTGCTCCTCGCTGACTGGTCTGTTCATGGAGCTCGGCCCTGCTTCCATCACCAAGGACCAGAAGGTCAAGCACAACCCCTACTCGTGGAACGCCAACGCCTCCGTCATCTTCCTTGACCAGCCCGTCAACGTCGGATACTCATACTCGAGCGGCTCAGTCAGCAACACTGTCGCTGCAGGCAAGGACATCTACGCCCTGCTCACCCTCTTCTTCAAGCAGTTCCCCGAGTACTCTCACCAGAGCTTCCACATCTCGGGAGAGTCGTACGCCGGTCACTACATCCCCGTCTTCGCCTCCGAGATCCTGTCCCACAAGAACCGCAACATCAACCTCCAGTCCGTCCTCATCGGTAACGGTCTGACCGATGGCCTTACTCAGTACGAGTACTACCGCCCCATGGCCTGCGGTGAGGGTGGCTGGCCCGCTGTCCTTGATGAGTCTCAGTGCCAGTCCATGGACAACGCCTACCCCCGTTGCGCCAGCCTCATTGAGAACTGCTACAACTCCGAGTCCGTCTGGTCCTGCGTGCCTGCCTCGATCTACTGTAACAACGCTATGATCGGTCCTTACCAACGCACCGGTCAGAATGTCTACGATGTCCGCAAGCCTTGCGGCAGCAACTCTCTCTGCTACGACGAGCTTGACTGGATACAGGGCTACCTCAACAAGAAGGAGGTCATGAAGGCCGTCGGCGCTGAGGTCTCCAACTACGAGTCTTGCAACTTCGACATCAACCGCAACTTCCTCCTTCAGGGTGACTGGATGAAGCCCTTCCACCGCGTCGTTCCCGGCATCCTCGAGAAGATTCCCGTCCTCATCTACGCTGGTGACGCCGACTACATCTGCAACTGGCTAGGTAACAAGGCTTGGACTGAGGCGCTTGAGTGGCCCGGTGCCAAGGGCTTCAAGAAGGCCGAGATGGAGGACTTCAAGATCGACGGCGACGGCAAGACTGTTGGCCAGGTCAAGTCCAGTGGCAACTTCACCTTCATGAAGCTCCACGCTGGTGGCCACATGGTTCCTTACGACCAGCCTGAGGCGTCGCTTGAGATGCTCAACAGGTGGTTGTCTGGTGACTTCTGGGAGTCGTAGATACTTTCCATGTAGATTAGCTTGGTTGAGATTGTCATGTAGGAAACCGATTCGCAATGATTGGAAGGATTCCCGTTCGTTGCTTGTATCATACGGGCTTTATTTGCTTCGTGTTATCAGGAACCAATACAAATAAACGATCACATCCAACTATCATCCGCCATGCTCATTTCATCAGTGTCTGTCTTATATAAATCCAACATTATCACGTGCCCATTGTCGCTACCCACGATTATATTCAACTTCGTCAACTGTGGCTTTTCAATATTGCAAATGATAGTAGCACTGGTGGTGTGTTTAGGAGTGAAAGTAGAAAAGATATTGGTACGCGATGAGATTTTCGGTTCACTTGTTCCGCTCTGACGTAATTCCCAGGTACCCTTCACATGCGTCTTTATCGATGTCATGTCCAAACCTTTCACTTGGTAAGGGCAGCAGTATTTGCAGGGGTCTGAGAATCGCCATTACCAAGGCACTCATCACTCACCTTCTCCACGCTTCGAGCAGTGGTTGTTGTTTACGTCCATTTAATACTTCACTTTTCCCCCAATACGCATAAAAATATACTTCCTTAGTACCATAGCACCCACCTGAGTACTTCAGCCTACAAGGATTCTTCTCAACTCACATTCGCCACCAACCTTACTACCGAAAGACTGAATTTTCAAAGCCTACCACCAACATGACATCAAAACGCAAAGCCACCGACTCGCAGAATGACGGTCTTGCCTCGACACCAAAGCGTCCGAGAGTAGCAGCGACAAAGGAGCCGCGAAGACAACCTCCCAACGTCGCCGGTAATGGGGATGCTAAAACCACGAGTGCTCCTTCTCTCCTACAAACACGGCCCTGGCTCACGCGTGCTCAACCGATATCCGAACAAGATCTCTTCATACTGCACTGTCGCGACAATCTGGTTCCCGGCGCGACTGGGCCAAAAGACTGGCATGTCCTGGCCGAAGAGTTTAACGCACGATTCGACCACGAGTTGAAGAAGCCACTGGCCTATAACACGTTGAGTAAGCGATGTGGAGCCGCGAGGAAGTTGTTTTTGAAGAACAACCCGGAATATGCCGGGGTGTGCGTTTACCCAGTTCCTCAAGTAGAAACTGGGACAGAGGAAAGATCTGGAGGCCCAGACACAGTGGACTCTGATAGAGATGACAGTGAAAGCGATACAACGGATGAGGATGCAGATGCCATGCCAAACGGCAAGACCGCGGAACCGCAAGGAGGATCTGCTACTCAACATCTGGAAACCCCTGTCGCAACACTGCCAGCCCACAAACTCCCGACGCCTGTATCATCCAGCCCGCCGGCCCGTCATGAACATTCCTCTACTTCCAAAATTACCACTCTCTCGCCTGGTTCCTTCAACCCCTCTACCGTGGAAGAAAGCTACATACCGCCTAATACCCGCGCAAAATTCCACCTCCAGCAGCGCACAGACGAAAGAGTCACATTTCGCTTCTCCGACCCACACGAACCAAGCCTAGCCAGCGAAGATGCACAATACGTCGATACAAACACGCTGCTTTCCATCTCACCATTCTACGCTCGAACATCAGCAGAAGATCCCAGGAATACCGTCATCACTGTACCAGATTACATTGCTATACGAACAGTGAACATCTTCATTCAGCTCATCTCGCCGGAACGCGCAAATGAGCTGCCCACACACTATCTCTGGTCAGCCAAAAAATATGTCCCAGGCGTGTACGATCGCTATGGCGCTATACGTGTGGAGAAAATCATCTGGACTGTAGACGCGCTTCTCGATCTTTTGCTTTTCGCGCAGTGGATGGAAGTGTACTGGATCGTCGACATGGTGGTCGATCGACTGCACTTCCTGTTTGCCGAAGAAGCGCGATGTGAAGACATCTTTGCAGACATGGGTAAGCCTATCGATGGCTACGTTAATATTGCTGGGCGGCAGGTGTTCGTTGGAAGTAAACTGCCACCCGTGGACAATACGCTGGCTCGCGTGACGGCCAAGGACTTTGAGAGAGACTTCATGGTACTGTTAGCCGAGATGTCAGCAAGTACGCCCGTATGGAGATTTCTCGCAGACTTGCTCTACGCATTAGGCGAGGAGGTGAAAAGCGCTGAATGGTTTCCGGCCTTGTCAAAAGACGTACAACGTATATTGTCTCAACCGGAAGAAAACTATCTTGACGCAACGACTGCGCGAAAGGAGTTTTGCGCGCGATATCACCATCATGCAGTAGGCTCGGAAACTTGCTACACAGCCCACCGCGTCCATTCGGCTACCCATAACATCGATGCTCTATATGCTTCATCGTCTCCGAAAGCGCTGATTCGTCTCTCCGAAGGACTTGACTCAACGAGTAGTCTGACTAGCATCATGTACTCCAGCACTGGCAATGCCAGTAAGTTGAAGCAGGACAACTCGACACAATCTATGCTAGACACAGAGAAGATGGTATTGGACATGGAAGGTCGTCTATACGAGGCGAAGATGGCGATGCAGAAAGCGCGAGTCGCTGGTGAAGATGAGAAGAAGGCTGCCACGGAGGAAGCGAACAGGATCGCGCGGTCGATGTACAGTCACGAGGCGTCCGCGAAGGGGCAGTGAAAGTCTTTTAGATGAATGTATTTCAACTGTTCATTTTCATGCGTTCTGCTATAGATTGTTATGCTTATTTCCAAAGCTTCTGAAGATGAGCATTTTCGCAGAGAGCGGTAGATACATCAATCTGATTAATAAACATTGCAAATTTGACTACTAAAGCAGTAACAACATGTGCATGTATACTGGAGAGCGCGACATGTACACTATTTGCTAATGAGAGGCTTACAGCTTCTCGACCTCAAGAACGTTGCCTTGCGCGTCGGTGGCGAGCCTCTTCTTAATAAGCGACGCGTTCCTCGGGTTCGGCGCGTTGAAGATGTCATCGATCTCCTCGAGCGTGCGGTTCTTGGTCTCCGGGATGAAGAGCCAGACGACGAAAGCCTGGACCGGGCACCAGCAGGCAAAGACGATGTACAGCTTCCAGCCAATCTTCTCTAGAGCAATAGGATAGGCGAATTGGTTGATCAACATGGCTGTGGTAAGCGCCAAGTTGGAAAAGGCCATACCCTTGGCGCGCATCTCGAACGAGAGCACCTCCACGGGGTAGAGGGCTTGGAGCGGAGTAATACCAAAGGCAAAGACGGCGTTGAAGAGGAAGACCAATGCTACGAAGGCATTACCGGCAGGGATGCTTCCGGTCTTGTTCTGGTAAGAAACAGCGCCGATGGCTCCGGCCCAAATTACTGTCACGGTCGAAAAGGTACCGATCAGCATGGGTCGTCGACCCAGTTTGTCGACGCAGAGAGCTCCCACGACAGCCTAGGCGCCAGCAATCAGTAATCGTACATGTAGCTTTTCTGTGAATAGACTTACGAAGGCAAGCTGCATGCAGCTCTTTCCCAAGTTGATGTTCATCTTCTTGATCTCGTCCGTGACGCCTGCAGATTCGAGAACACCAGAGATGAAGTAGTCGACAGCACTGTTTGACACACGATTAGTGACTTCGTTTCTTGTACTAGTCCAGCAGACTTACCCATTGCCTGCCCATTGACCGAAGATCGCGACTATGCAATTACAAGCGAGGCGGTAGCGCGCAGGACGAGTCTTGAAGAGAGAGCCATAGTCCCACCAGCGCTTGTCTCCTCCGTCCATGTTGAGATACTCCTCGTATTCGCGAATTTGCATGGAAACCCAGATGCTGTCCTCGTTGCCGCAACCATGGTACTTGGCAAGAGTCTTCTTAGCCTGGGTATGTTTACCGCGGGTGTACAGCCATCGAGGGCTCTCTGGAAGGAGAAGAGGCAGTATAACGAGTAAGGCTGGGAAGAGCATCTGAAGCCAGACGGGGATCCTCCAAGATTGGTTGCCGGCGAGATTGGCGGACCCACGTGTGACACCGGCAGCGAGAAGTGATCCGACGAACCAGAAGGTATTGTAAAGACCAGTGATGATACCACGGTGAGCTGGGTGCGCAGTCTCGATGACATGAAGCGGACCAGCGGTCGTCATGATTGGGACTGCGAAGCCGAGGAGGAAACGACCACCCATGACTAAGGAGGAACGTGAAATCAGCATAAATCTCATCGAGACGTCTTACGTGGGCGTTGCTTACATTGGCCGACAGGGTTGGACGCAGGAGCAGTTGACTGGATGATGACACCAGTGCAGCCAAGAACTCCGCCAATCATCATACCAATGCGACGACCCCAAGTGTCGCAGGCTGGGCCGATAAAGGGAAGGGCAACAACACCACCGATCTGGTACATGGAAGTAACGATACCAGCCCAGGCTCCGGTACTCTCGACGTTGTAGTACTCCTTGAAGGTGTTGTTGGTGAGGAGCGAGTTGAACATGGATCCGTCGAACCCGTTGCATGTCGAGCAAAAGAATCCCACAAATGCACAGACGTAAAGCAGCATAGCAGAGCTGGAGAAACGTTGAACAGGCTCCTTCAGCTTGGCTTCTGCTATGGCTTCGGAGCCAGAGATGATGGCGATGTCAGCCACAGCACCTTTGTGGTCCTGGTAGGTGTAAGTACAGTCAACGGCTCGTGGTTTGAACAAGATACTTACGCCATTCTCTGAGGTCGTCGTAGCATAAGACTCTTTGATGTCCGACATTGCTTTGGTGGAGACACTCCAGATGAGCTGTGTGGAATACGTCTGGGAAACGGGTGGACTATTAAACAAAATCGGATATGTACAAGGGAAGGACCTCAAAGACCAGACTGCCGGGCTATGGCCCGCAATGTCCGGCTAATGCTGCATCCCAGCGGCGTGCTGTCGGACTCGCAGTTCTGGAAATATGTTCCCGAGCTAAATGGGCGCGGAAGGCTCTGGCCCGCATCCTAATCGGGAAGCGGCTCCAGCATCTCGAACAAGCCTCAACCGTCCCGTTCAAGCGCATACGCCACATACTTGGAAGAAGTGTAGTATCGAGAGGCATAACTATCGGAATCGTGGACCGTGGGCAATCGTGCTGGCTGCTGCACGACAGCTGCCACTAGGCCAAGACGATCCCAGTACGCCGACCAGGTCCCTGATAGCGAAACAGGTAGAACGCGGGGAATCTCCTGGTACTTACAAACCCGGGACACATCCTTGTCATATGAAGGTATCCCATTTCGCCGGTCTCGACAGGGCTACTCCAACTCGCAACAGTATTGGGGACAGATCGCCTATCCCCGCGTATGCTTTTGGTCTAGAAAATAGAAGGGCAATCCTTCAAAATTAGCAGACAATGGCCAACACTAGTTGGAATGTAGATCGCCCGTGCCAACGGCGGCGCTGGGCGAGCTCAGCACAAAGCTATCAGCAGGATCATGCTGGATGAGGCATTGAAGACTGATGCAGGAGGTGACCCCAGGTGATAGAAAGGCTTGTCTTGATAGTAGCGGTTTTATCCGCGAATGAGCTCCGACGTCGAGGATTGGCGCGAGCGCAAGCGCATGGCACAGCACATGGCCTAGGGCGGTTGCTGACGCTTGATTCTGCATGACAGTCGGCTGGAAGCGCCTCGTTGCATGCCGGGGGTCTCAAGCAAAATTCGATTAGATGAGAGCTAGGTGTATGCACATTGGCGCGTTATGGACGAGTGATGGGGTGAGGATGTCGTGGTGCAACGGAGGAGCCCCCATCACTCGGTTGCCCAGCCGTAAGCGACGGCGCTACTGTGGCGTTCCCGAGGTTACGACTGATGCGGACAGGCGCTACGGAGAGCCTGTCTCCGTGCCAGCTTCGGTCAGGTCAACAACACCTTAAACCAACGGTTTCACGAAAGCTCTACTACGGTAAGAGGCATACGCTCTGTGTGTGGAGAGGCTAATATTATGAACTCCGGGACTACTTTGGTTAGCATGCCAGCAAAAGAAGACGAGTACGTTACGAAGGCTTGGCTATTCTAGCTTGAGTTGCAGTCTGCCTTGAGATGAGTTTCAACTGCTGGGTTAGGGTGCGGCGTGTGGCGTGCGGTGGGTGAGTATTGATCCTACCTAGGTACAAAAAGGGGAGGTCTAATCATCAGATTGTGGCCATCGGTAATGCGGGCCGTTTCTCTCCTCGTCGATTGCTAATACTAATCACAGCGCTTGACGTTTGTCTTTAGATCCTTACGAAATCTTTGGACTTTGCTCCGAACACATCTTGTTCAGGTCACCGGGCGGATTTCTGAGTCAAGCCCAAAAACACTGCGTCAAAATGGACATATTTAGCGCGACGAAAAACGAGATGACGCATTAGATCCGGTATCATCGAGGACTGGAATCAAGCGTTATAGGACTACAACAAAGCGATTAAGACTAACAATTGATGGTAACATATCTGGGGTGCATCGAACTACATCGACTATTCCAAGATTATGTATCGACCTGTGAATAGGTCGGATCGTCTTTAGCGGTCTCGTCCTGTATTCAATCCTAACCCATCAGGTTTAGAGAGGTATCGTCGTTGTGGCGACATGCCGGCCCAGAAGGCTCGTCAAACTCAATCAGATACCTCTAGTTCTCTGCTTTGGATTGCAGCAATCAATTCCGCATTGCAGACGCCCATGTTAACAAGTTCAGGAGCTATTCCCGCTCTATGGGCGATACCAACCCAAAATCCGCGGGCTGGATCCTCATAGCGAGTGGTTTCGAAGAGCAAGTTCATGTTCTCGACACTTAAATCCATCTCGGCGTTCTTTCCCGCAAGAGTGCGCCACCGCGCCAATATCAGCCCGCACATATGGTCATCTAGAAGCTGTGCAGCCAAGCAGTACAGGTCCATTAGTGAGCCGTTTCCGCGATGGAAACCTGCCGGCGCTTTTGTCAAACATCCGGCTGAGCTGCATTGTACGTACCACTGAACGACCTCTAGGGATGAGCATTCAACCTGTACTGTCGTCTCGCTGTCGGCAGCCATTAATTGCTGAAGCACCACGGAGCTGCTACCAAGGTCTTCGAGGCCGCCGATAACAACTTCAGATGGTGAGTCATGTGCGTCATGTACCTCTAGTACAACCTTTTCGACGTGTGCCGACATTAGGTCGTCTATATAGTTATGTACGTCTGCTCGATTCCGAATGGCATCTGGAGGCATCCATCCGGCGATGCGTTCATTGGAGATGGAACCTTCGCCCTTGTCCATACGGATCTGCGGTCTGTCAGCATGAGGGACCTCAGTAGGACCACGAACCTTTTGGTTGCTGGTGTAGGCTTGCACGCAAGGAGCTTGAGCATGTAGGGCGGCAACCTTCGAGCGCCGAATGGCTTGTGTCTTTGGTTTCTTTGCGTACATTATTTTGAGGGGATAACCTGGATGTTTGGCTAACCAAGCAGGTCGGTGTTGTCGCGCGCGCTTCTCCATCGCCGCTGGACCGACAGACATATCATACTTTTTGTTGTATGCTTCGGCGACCCCCGGCCACGGCAGTGGGCCGTATGTTTCCGACGACTCGCCATAGGCATCTGGCTTGTTGTTGTCGCGTTTTATGATAATGAACCCGACCTGCTCGTCTGCATGGCGTTGTTTTCCCTCTCTTTCCGTTGTAAGCATAGCGCGCTGAGTGACACGATTATTATCCTTCAGTGTAACTGATGTTGTTTTGTCCGCTTGATCCTGTTCCGACTCTTTTTGACCCGGCTGATACTCATCTTCGCTGTCATCCGTATCGCCAGTAATAAGTGAGTCGGACGAATGATGAACTGTTCCAGGACCTGCAGTGGCCTTCAACCTCTCCAGAGCACGCAACAAAGCGCTTTCGGACGTTGCAACAGCATCGAGAGCCATAGTTGAGTAGAGCTGGGGTGATCTCAAGATAGAAGAGATCTACAACGCTAAATGTACCTGCCTGGTGCAGACATTCACTAGACGGTATGTATTCACACGCGTGGGTTTCGGGCACTGTCGACGAACCTAGCTACTACTCACCGGGACGGGATGACTAGTTACAACCTCGATACTCGTAGCGCGTCCCATCTAGATGATTCTAGTTAAGACATGCTCCTGCGATGTTCGCAAGGTGTTGAGCTTGCATCTTCCAAAAGCATAATTCCATATGCTGTAGGTGCACAATGCTTGCCTTGATAGTTTTGGGGATGAGAGAAGGCCAAGGCCGGTTTATTTGATCTTGAAAAGGGCAAAATGTGATATTGATACTTGTCGTAGTTGTGCCTACGCTGGTAAATAGAGTAGAATACATGAATTGACTACGAAATCGCCAAACGTTCACTAGATGACGTTAAACGAGCGTCTCTAGAGCCTTATCCCATGGAAAACCGCTTTCCTATCCCTTTCTTCTTACTAGACCCACCAAATTTCGCCCTCATAGCCACCCAACTGCCTGGCTCTTTCTTCAGACGAGTCAAAAACATTGCTACGTCAGCTTTGATGGAATTGAAGCTTTGCATCATCTCGTTCGCGCTTTTCGAAATACCATTGAGATGTGTACGAGCTCGCTCTCCAGCAAGACCATGGTCCTCGCACATCGTCCGATGCACCTGCTCGTAGACATACAAGTCCTGACTGGCTCCTTCCATGAGCGGATCTAGCTCAAGGGGCAAACTTGAAGTGCTAGAGCGGGTTGGATCGGAAAGCGACCGGAAAAGAATTTGGTAGATGTTCATTATCCTGAATGCGCGAGAGAAGAACCGATCCAGAGGTGCCGCCTCACTAACGATGGCGTTATACAGCGTCTCTGTTTTCTGTACTAGAGCAGCTTTGTCATTGAGAGAGGCGGAGGCAGATAAAACCTCAGACTCTAGGTTATGAATGAGCGTAGTGAACGTTTCGCTAAATTGCTCGCTTTCATTCTCGACTTCAGACGTATGAGACAGGATTGCTGCAAATTTAGCTTCGTTGGCTGCTATGATCGCTGCGTCATGTGCGCGAAGGTTGGTGAAAGTTTCAGCTGCTCGTTCGTTCTCGGCCTGTAGTTGCACAATGGTGCACTGAAGTTGTTCTAGCTCTTTTTGCAAACGATCAGCTCTGGCGAGAACTTCATCGGAGGCGGCTTGGTCCGTGACAGCGGAAGAAAGCTCGCGCTCGTAACGTTCTGCACGCCGTCGCGAGTCTTCAGCAAGCTCACGGTAGTATTCGATCTGCCGTTGCGCTTGTTGGAGATCGACTTTGAGCGCCTTGAACTCTGCTGGTTGGTTGTCAATCTCTGCTTCCTTTTCCTTGATTTCGGTTCGCAATACATTGTTATGAGTCTGCAGGTCTTGCTCACGATCTTGAATCTCCCGAATATACTCTCGCGCTGCTTTGAGTTCGGTTAACTCCTTGAAGTGATCACGCAAGTCGTCCGGGATAGCGTCCTCTATCTGATAGCCTTTCGTTTTGACATTGGCTACAATATCAGACAACTGCTTCCTCATATCCCCGAGAGTAGCCATGAATGCGGTGGCGATATTGCGTTGCTTCTCGACGGTTGTTGGGATTTTAAACTTGAGCCCTTTGAATATACCGTCAGGAGTCTAGGAACGAGATTGATTTCGAACATGGTGTTGACATGGTTTCCTGACAGCGTGCATGCTAGGTGTGCTGACGTCGATGGCTACGGTGAGACCGCATCGTGCTCCTACAATGAGATCATCTGAGCAGTCGAGAATTCGTGACCGAAAAGGGTACTCTAGGTGAGTACCGCAGGCAGGGTTGGTTAAAATATGCCTGCATATCTTGAAACTGTAATGCACAAGCGGCCGCAAGCTTTGCGCACTACGTGTATCGAGCAAGGAGGTATGACAACATCCCTCTCAACCGGACAGGTAGTGTATTCGAGATGAATCTAGTATGCCCACTTTCAACCCGCTGTGTCAGACGAGTGGCCGTTTCGTCAAATTTGTCGAGCTCGTTCCTACTTAGATCGCACCTTGCTTCATCAGTGGTAGAGACGAGGAGGCCATACTTTACTAGATCTTTCGGTGGGTAGGTCTGCCAGTACGATTGCCTGTTGCTGCTGCTACTGATGACGGGTTTGGAAGAACGCCGCCAGGTTCGCGACACGTTCCATGCAGAGACTGGTACTTCGGGTCCCGCAAACCGGGGAACGACGTCGAGCAGCTCCGATATTTGGAACACTTGATGTCCCCGTTGAGCACACTGCCAAACTTGTGTTGTTCCTGATGGTGTCGGTATGATGGGCCGCGCTGGTCAATGATGCATACCGTCAAGAGCTTCTGCATTACGCGAAAAGGACGCGTCGGAATCGGACCGCGTCGCATGCATCCGAACAGGTATGCGCAAGAACGAAAGGAATTTGGATCCAAGGCAGCCGTGTGGCAAGTTAAATCTTTAACATTGGTTTTAAGGCGGCGTCATTTTTAGTTGCGCTGTGAGGGTGCAGCCCATAGATTCCAGCGACATTGTTTTGCTGATGACAATGGTGACTTTGCGTGTGACGTCACATGCAACGCCCCTGAACGCCGGCTTTGTCTGCCTACTCCACCACCATCCGGGCACCTTTCCAAGGCTCTAAACCTCAATCCTTTCGAACCCGACTCGGATGGCAACTACTCGACGCGACGCATTCCAGGACAAGAACGACAGTAATGTATTGTGAAGCAAAGGAGACGGCTTGTGGCATCCGCTTAAGGCTGCGCCCTCTGGACAAGCTGACCGGTCGCGCGGCATGCGCCAATTAAATGGTTATGCGCAGTTGCGATACGCCGCTGCGCGCTGCGGTACTGCGCACTCAAACGTATGACCAGGCATCACTCCAGAATCTCTTCGCGCGTGTAGTGTCTTTTCGTCTTCTCTGTCTGCATTCTGCGCGTGTAGGATCGCTACTCACATCACAAACTGCTTTCAACCTGCATCGGAAATGGAACGTCACCACTCCCCAAGCAATGAAGCTGAGTCCATAGGCGCCAGCTGTGGAGGTATGTTCACGTTGTCCAGTATGGGGTGATCTTGTTAACACTCGAGATCAGGTACCCCGATTTTGTCACCAGCAGACGACCCGTCTTTCTGGCAGGGAAACCCCGTTTTGCCTAAGCAGCTTTCGATTGATCCGGTGCCAATGGAAAACTCTGAGTTCTTTTCAGATCTAGCGCACAGTTCAAAACCGAGAACAACCACAAGAAGTCATGGAAGTCATCTTTCCGACTGGTCCTCACACACGTCTCCGCGTCTTTCTGAAGACCCCAGACAATCTCGAAGTCGCTACCCCAGTCTCATGAGTAATAGCACACCGAGCAGTGGCAATTCCTTCACGAGGTCTACCAGGTCTCTCGAGTCACTAGAATGGAAAGACAAAGCAACACTAGTGTGCGATTTTTGCGATGCATCAGGCGGCCACGCTACGACATTTGAGGGGGCTGATTTGGTATCTGAATTCCTGGAACATCTAATGCAGAGCCATAATGCCGACGAGCCAGAAGTAGAGATCGAGGAGCCGATAATACATCCCGTCTACAAGGTTGCTGTCGGAGTCACCAGACGGTACATAATTGGTCCCAAAGCACAATGTCCTCTCTGTGGGGTGTTTGCTACCGCAAGGTCCATGTACGAACATGTACCTAAATGTGTTAACCTCCAAGCCATAAGGATGGCGGAAGTTGGCATCCGGCCACGACTATCGTTCATGGACATAGTTTGCGGTACATCGAGTGACGCGACGACCGATCGAAGAGCTCCAGTACCTCTGCCCGACGAAGGACATCCACCGATGCAAAGAGTAGAGGTCAGTTCTCAAGACTCGACTGAATCCAGTCACGCAGGATGCGAAGATATCACAGAACTCACTGCGCCGTCGAGTCGCCTGTCATTGGTTTCATCTAGCGCAGCTACACCATCCGAGCAAGAGACTGACTCTGCAGAAGAGATGGCATCTCGAGAGAGCTCTCCGGCTGCTTTAGAGGCCCCGCATCGACTAACGCCCACGAAGCGGCTACTAGTGGATGCCATCATGCGGGATTTTCAGCAAGTCTTCAGGACCAGTCTACGAAGCCACACTAGCGGAGGCAATCCAGGCACTGGCGGTCGTGCATCAGGAAGCTCTACCGGCGCATTCACCTACTCAGACCCGTCGTTTATATCCCGAAAACGAAGTTTGAGTGGAGGTAGCTTTACTCCCCCAGAGGACGGCGATGATTCAAACAAACGACGCAGATCTGACTCAATGTCAAAGGGCAAGCAACCTGCTTCTCAACTCCGATTCGCATGCCCTTACTATAAGCGCAACCCGGGCAGACACCAAACTTACACGTCCTGTAGAGATCCTGGCTTCATTACAGTGGCGAGATTAAAGTAAGTATCTCAACGCGTCGTTACGAATTTAGAACCTGATACTTTTAGGGAGCATTTGTACCGTCGCCATCTACTACCACCACAATGCCATCGCTGCTGTACAACCTTCGCGGACGACGTTGCACTTCGAGAACATCAACGCGATCCGGGCGGTTGCGAATTACGAGAACTGATACCACTGGAGGGTTTTGACAAAGAACAAGAGAAAAAGATGAAAAGCAAGAAGGGCAGCCAGGTGAATCACGGCGAAGTAGAGAAATGGAAAGCTGTGTACCGCATCTTATTCCCAGACGATCACGATGCAGACATGCCCAGTCCTTGTAAGTCACAGCTCTCTTCACAGCATACATGCACAAATGCTCACATACGAAGACATCGAATACCAACGTGATGCAACGAGCGCAACCGGGTCATCTAGCGACTCCCGTTTCCAGGAGTTCTCGCGTCTCGAACTGCCACGTCTTGTTCGCCGTACGCTAGAGAGCATAGTAGAGCATGAAGCGCAACCACTCGAGGATAGATTAAAGGAACGACTAGTGGAT